TATATATATATATATATATATAGTAATTAAATGTTATTGTTGAAACAAGTGTGTGTTTTATTGAAAGAATTTTCGCTCCGAAGCGTCCTCCAACCATATTTACTTATGCTAACTTTCAAAAGGATTCATTACGTAACTGAGGATAATTTTTAATTTTTGTTAAAACCCTTCATTGAACCAAACAGTATATTTATTGTTTATAGTTCCTTCGCAGAGTTCTTGGTTACTTAAAGTATTCAATTTTTCCTTTGCTCAGCTTCTTCTTCATCAGAGAACACGTTTTATATCACAGGGGATTCTAGCACACAACATCCTTTTAAAAATAAATTGTATATATCGTAATGCTATTTATTATTTTTAATTGTCCTACTTAGACACTTCAGCAAAAAATAATTAGGTTTAACTCAAAACATTTCAGAACAAAATTTTTAACATCGTTCCATTGTAAACCGTGCTTAAATGTTATTAATTCGTAGAGAAGATTATGGTAAGAGTAGAGATCATAGAATTTGTTGTGAACCATGATCAATAGGAGACAAATCCAAAAATCGTAACTGTATTTAATTATTTCATCATTGACCATCGATATGGAGACACAGTGGGTCTGGCAGAAATTGAAAAAACAAACCTTCAAAATGTAACTCTATATCATACACGTTCAATCCATAAAATTTAGTGTTTTATTGTAAAAGAATTTGCCCAAAGGTGTCCGTCAGACTAAAACTAATGCTTGGTTCAGGTCGCCTTAGTAACCTAGGGTTAACCCAGACTAAACGCAAGCGGTGCGTGCACGTGTGTGGCAGGGAAGCGTGCGCGGTGAGCGTGGTGGCATATCATATATATTCAATACATAAAATTTAGTGCTTCCCTATAAAAATTGAGTTTTTCTTCAGTTTTACCCAGGTAGTCCGTCAGAGTTACGCCTTTGTACTAATGCTTGGTTCAGGCCGCCTTTGTAACCTAGGGTTAGTCCAGACTGAACGCGAGCGGTGCGTGCGCGTGTGTGGCAGGGAGGCGTGTGCGGTGAGTGTGGTGGCGTATCATACATGTTCAATCCATAAAATTTAGTGCTTCCTTATAAACATTGAGTTTTTCTTCAGCTTTACCCCACGTAATCCGTCAAACTTACGCCTTTCGCAATAATGCTTGGTTCAGATCGCCTTACTAACCTACGGTTAACGCAGACTAAACGTGAGCGGTGCGTGTGCTTGTGTGGCAGGGAGGCGTGCGCGGCCAGATAGGCCGACGTTTCGCCTGTCATGTCGCAGGCTTCTTCAGGGTAGTGACTTCAGGGTCGTCACTACCCTGAAGAACGTCGGCCTATCTGCCAACGACGTGGCGTCAGCCAGACAGCCTAGAAGTAATGGACTCGAGCCGCGGAAGTCTACGTGTACGGGTTATCATAATGTTCAACCCATATAATTTAGTTCTTCATTGTAAAAAAAATTGCTCAAAGTTGTCCGTCAGACTAAAACTAATGCTTGGTTTATGCTGCCTTTGTAACCTACGGTTAACGCGAGCGGTGCGTGCGCGTGTATGTCAGGGAGGCGAGCGCGGTGAACGTGGTGGCATATCATACATGTTCACTCATTAAAACTTAGTGCTTCCTTAAAAAAATGATTTTTTCATCAATTTTACCCCAGGTAGTCCTGTCTTTGTGATAATGCTTGACTCAGGTCGTCTTAGTAACCTAGGGTTAACCCAAACTAAATGCAAGCGGTGCATGCGCGTGTGTGGCAGGGAAGCGAGAGTGGTGAGCGTGGTGGCATATCATACATGTTCAATCCATAAACTTTAGTGCATCCTTAGAAAAATTGAGTTTTTCTTCAATTTTACCCCAAGTAGTCCTGCTTTTGTACTATTGCTTGGTTCAGGTCGCCTTTGTAACCTAGGGTTAACCCAGACTAAACGTCAAAATGCGTGCGCGTGCGTGGCAGGAAGGCGTGCGCGGTCAGCGTGGTGGCATATCATATGTGTTCAATCCATAAAATTTAGTGCTTCCTTATAAAAATGTTTGTCCAAAGATGTCCGTCATACTGCAACTAATGCTTGGTTCAGGTCGCCTTAGTAACCTAGGGTTAACCCAGACTAAACGTCAACGTGGTGGGGTATCATACATGTTCACTCCGTAAAATTTGTAACCTAGAGTTAACCCAGACTAAACGTGAGCAATGCGTGTACTTGTGTGGCAGTTTTTTCATAATTTTAAAGATCAATCTCAATCTGCATTATACGTTGGTAGGTCAACTTCTAGACGGGGTTCCGTTTACGTGACTATATTTCATTCCACCACTTCACAAAATCGATCAAGACTGCATTATCTCCAATTAGCTACGTCATTTTGAACCTCGAACCGATGTCCGCAATTATGATTGATGGCTGCAACACGATTTTTCGCTGTCACGTCTAAATATGACGTTCAAGCAGAATTCTAATGTTTACATACATTGCTTCAAACACAGCTTATGTAATTTATTTCCGCAACATTTTAATTACATCACTGTTTTGTGACAATACTTCATTACCCAAAATAACATATCTTATTAAGACATACAAATTTCTGTGTGAAAAATGATGAAAATACTTGTATGTTAAGATGTAATGTAAGGAAATACCATTTATCTTCTAACGTTTCTAATAATACTTTTCCTATGCTGATCTGGACTGCTTAGCCCTATTTGATCCCCTACATACTGTAAATACGATAGTGTATAATAAAAAGTAGGGAAATATTTTCTTATATTTTTTTATAAAACACCGTTAGTTCGAACTTCCGGTCGAGATACCGGCAATATAACTATATTTAGAAAAGAAAACAAAATGGTCAGAATTAGTAAAAAAGGAACCAGCACCCAGATTAATTTACACAGCGCAGGCAACATTAATTACACGATAAAAAAGCTTCAGGAGATGACAAAGAATATCAAAATATTGAAGAAAAAGGAAAACAATCGAGTACAAAATTTAATCTTCATTTTTTACGCTTTATAAACTTAATATACAGATAAATTCATATTTGTTTAATTAAAACATTTACACAAATTTTTGCATAATTTGAACAATATAATCACTAAATTATTTAATGGTATTATTGAAGATTGTATTGCGAGCAGAACGGTGAATATAATACTAAACTTTGGAAGTAAAGTAGATGAAGATAATAAACTCTCACCAAAAAACTCGCCCTTCTTCTGTCCTTTGCATCTTTTGCATCACGGGCGATAACTGATCGTTAATAAAGCATCTTCCGAGGGACGTGCGCGCGCTCTAGTGGAGGGCTCATTAATATGAGCTTTCTGCGGCGACCGCCCGGAAAGAAACTGCGCCGCGGCGGAGCTCCATCGACCGCATGAAAGGCTCTTAAGGGCAGACCGAGTAACCGTAGGGCGCTGAAGCGCGAAAGAGATACAAAGTGGCTGTTCCAGTGGGTGCATCAGTTGCGTTGCTTGCACGAACGGTAAAAGTGACGTGGGATTATTTAATAAAAAATTAATTACAAGATAAGGCGTGAATTTTATCGACTATTTTAATTTAGTTTGTTATGTAAATGAGGTGAAATTGTTTCTTCTGGCTATTTTACTATAAAATATTTTTTATAAAATGAATTGTAGAACATCATAAGGTAACATCAAAAATATTGTGGGATTGCGTGAGACTGAGCTGAAGCTTGGCGGTTTGAGACAGTTTGTTTTGGCTGCTGCCGGTTTGAAGGTCAGGCGACCGACGAGTGGGGGCGTGGGGGCGTGGGGGCGTTGAGGGAGCGGGCAGCGCAGAGGATGAGAACATGGAGGGCTGCGCCAACCGGCAGGAGGGAGTTTCAGGAAGACGCGCGGGCCGGCGGTTACAGTCAAGTGGCATGATCTATCGTAAATATCTGTTTGTCTTAACCGATGTGAAAAGACTTGACAGCGGAAAGAGATTTATTCTGTGACAGGGGTTTTTTTGGGAAAAGGGATGTGCTATATTGTAGCATTAGTAATTGAATGTTATTGTTCGAAACACGTGTGTGTTCTCATTGAAAGATTTTTCCTCCAAGGCGCCCTCTATACAACTATTTACTTATGTTCATTCAAAGGTCAGCACGTAATTTAGGATAGTTAATTTTATTTTTTGTTGAGACCCCTTATTGAACCAAACGTACTTTATTGTTTATGGTTCTTCGTATGAGTTGTTAGTAACTTAAAGTATTCAATTTTCCGTTTGCTCCAGCTTCTTCTTCATCATCAGAGAACAGTTTTAATATTCACAGAGCGTTTAGCAACAGCATCCTTTTTAAAAATTTAGTATATATAGTATGTATTTATTATTTTAATTGTTCTACTTAGACACTTCAGCTAAAAATAATTCGGTTTTAACTCAAAACATTTCATGAACAGCATTTTGACATGTTCCATTGTTAAACGTGCTCAATATTTATAATTTCGTTAGAGAAGATAATGGTACGAGTAGAGATATAGAATTTGTTTTGAACATGATAATAGGAGACAAACCCGCAAATATCGTAACTGTAATATTTGTATCAAGTGACATACGATATGGCAAAGAACACGGTGGGTCTGCAAGAATTGAAAAAAAAACGACCTTCAAAATGTAACTCTTTATACATGTTTAATCATAAATTTAGCGCTTCATTGTAAACACAATCTTGCCCAAAGTTGTCCGGTATCCAATGTTCGCTTCGTCCCTTGTCTAAAATAAATGCTTGGTTCAGGTGCTAGTGGCATAGGGTTACCCTGACTAAACCGCGGAGCTTGTGCGCGTGCGCGTGTGCAGGGGAGCGCCGTGGGCGGTGAGTGTGGTGGGTATCATACTGTTCAATCCATACAATTTAGTGTTCTTATAAAAATTGAGTTTTTTCTTCAGTTTTACCCCACGTAATCCGTCAAACTTAGCCTTCGCAAAATGCTTGGTTAGGAATCGCCTACTAACCTACGGTTAACGCCAGACTAAGACGTGAGCGGTTGCGTGTGTTTGTGGCAGGGAGGCGTGCGCGGGAGCTGTATTAATTACTTAGGCTTCATGTCGGTGGGCAGATGGCCGACTTTCGCCTGTCATGTCGCGCTTCTCAGGGTAGTGACTTCAGGGTCGTCACTACCCTGAAGAACGTCGGCCGCTATTCTGCCCAACGAACGTGGCGTCACCCCGACAGCCTAGAAGTAATGGACTCGAGCCGCCGGAAGTCTACGTGTTACGGTTATCATAATGTTCAACCATATAACTTTAGTTCTTCTTGTAAAAAAATTGCTCAAAGTTGTCCGTCAGCACTAAAATAATGCTTGGTTTTATGCTGCTTGGTAACTACGGTTAACGCCGAGTGTGCGTGTGGCGCATGTGGCGGAGGCGTGCGCGGTCAGCGTGGTGGCAGGCGGAGCGGTCTGTGGGCACTGCCGGGCGCGCCGCGCAGACCGACGCGCTTCTTGGAGCTGCGCGTCCGACGAGCGGCGGCGCTGCGCGAGCTTGCGCGCGGGGGCCCGCGGCCGGTGCGGGGCCGGCCTGGTGCGCGACGGCTGCGCGGCTTGCGGCGCCGCACTGCGCGCGCCTGGCCTCGACGACCTCGA